TATCAGGGGGGATCTGTTTGTGCCCAGGTGCTTGTTTGGCTAGTGGTGTGGAGATTTTTTTGTTTGTGAGTGCAGGCTTCCAAATGATTGACAGTCTGGTGGAATCATCTCTTCTATTCATGCTTTCAGGTCTTTTTCAATCTCTATGGCTTCTCTGATGATTCTGTGGCTGGGGTTTTCTATAGTGGCTAGGGTTTTGGTGCCATTGAAGTCAATGCTATGACCTGTGGCTTCCATGTGTTGGACTAGTGAGGAAGTGTGTTCCAGATTTTATACTGCATTTTTGTGTTCATCCAGGCAGGTACTTATTCTTCTATAGGTCTGTCCAATGTATGTGGCCGGGCATGATGCACAGGGGACTTCGTATATGCCTTGGTTTTCCAGGTCAATTTTATTTTTGGGGTTTCTTAGGATGGCTGCTATTTTTCTGTCTGTTTTGAAGGCAGTCTTGATGTGATGTCTATGTAGTATCTTACTGATTTTGTCTGTAGTACCTCTTATGTAGGGCAGGACAGCTGTTCCATAGGTCTGTTCATCTTCTGGGTCTCCATTATGTCTCAGTGTGTTTTTGTGGATCAAGCCGGTGATTTTGCTTTTGTGGAAGCCGTTGGCTGTCAGTACTGACTACTGTCAGCACCCTGACTAAAGTACTGACAGCCAATGGCTTCCACAAAAGCAAAATGTAGTGTTTTGAAGAGTTTCTCTCCCCACCCCGCTTCCTTTTAAGCTTCCTGTTCACTTTAAGAAAGAAGGAAATGAAAGAAGAAGCTTGGATGAGTTTCACACCAACAAGCAGTCTTTACACCTCATGTTAATTCCTTCCTTCTCAACAGCATCTTCTATTCTTAGCTGATTGTGAAACCATCCCTTCCCTCCAATTTACAGGGAAAAAACCTCCTTCCAAAATACTGTCTTGGAAAAAAAAAAAGATTTGTAAAGAAGATCTTGTTGGAGTGACTCTTCATTTTCAAGAGGCAACCACTGTCCATATGTTGTAGAGCAGAGATATCCAAACCTTGGTAACTTTTAAGATTTGTGGACTTCAACTTCCAGAATTCTCCACCCAGCGTGGCTGGCTGGGAAATTCTGGAAGTTGAAGTCCACAAATCTGGGAATTGAGGTTCTACAGGTCTTAAAAGTTTCCAAGGTTAGACACCACTGTTGCGGAATGCAGTAAGAATATTGTCTAATGAGTGTCCATATTAAGCATTCAAAGCTGCCCAGGAAAAATTAGATTTTGTATAAAATGGATCCTTTAGTGAGCACAAACATTGAAGTCGGGAAATATATTCTCAGCCTTCCAACGTAATGGAAGTTGATCCGTCATTGCGGTAAGGGTTATTTCCATGTTTCATTTATTTCCATATTTCCAAGAAGGACTAGGGATGGCATGACAGCAGCGTTCCAATATCTCAGGAGCTGCCCCAAAGAAGAGGGAGTCAAGCTATTCTCCAAAGTACATGAAGGCAGAACAAGAAGTAATGGGTAGAAACTTATCAAGGAGAGAAGCAATCTAAGGAGAAATTTCCTGAAAATTAGAACAATTAATCAGCAGAACACCTTGCCTCCAGAAGTTGTAAATGCTTTAACACTGGAAGTTTTTAAGAAGAGACGGAACAATCATTTGTCTGAAATGGCATAGGGTTTCCTGCCTGAGCAGTGGGGTGGACTAGAAGACCTTCAGAGTCCCTTCCAACTCTGTTATTCTATTCTATTTTTTATTTAGCACAAACACTGAAGTCAGAACTATATTCCCCGTCTTCCAAAGTGATAGCAGCTCATCCGGCGTTGGGGTAAGGATTTATTTCCACGCTCAAGCACAAGATATCTTGGCTGAATAATGGCTCTAGCAACAGGCCAGGAAATTTAATGAAAGGGTTTGAGAAGTGAGAATATTTTGCAGTCGAGGTAGGAAAGAAGCAGCGTCTCTTGAGTTTTAGCTCAGGGCCATGACACAGATAGCCTTTTATTCTCCAAAAGAGGTAAGTGCTGCCGTGGGAAGACAGATTAATTTGAAGTGCTGCCTTGTGACAGCAGCCAAATGCAAAGGTTCTCCATTAATGAGGTGTTCTGAATTATATCACTCACGCTGCAACCTGCCAAACAAGAAGAAGAAGAAAAAAAAGAAGAAAGCACTTTGAAGGTTTGTGAAATTGAGTTCCTTCCTCAAAATGCTGAGCGTCTCCATCTAACATTAGTCAGGCTGCCTGAAGCAGATGGCAGTTGTAATTCAGCAACAGCCGGAGGCTTACAAGTTTTCCATTACAGCTTGGAAACTTTCCCTTCCTGATATTTTGAATAAATCTCCTGTTTTAAGAGAGAAATGAGGTTTTCAGCCCAGCCATCTCTTTTGTATATTGAAAGTTAGCTGAGACCAGGAAAGAAGAAGGACCTGCAGAAAATCTTGTTTCTGTTTATTCTGATTACTTTCCCTGATCATGCAATGTGATATAGTCTCATTTATTTTCTTTGAAATATGTGTGCTCTCTCTCTCTCTCTCTCTCTGTGTATGTATGAAAATACCCGAACAAAGCTGAATACCATACCTATATACCTATATACCTATATACCTATATACCTATATACCTA